TCCAGTGGTGAAGTTGGAGGCATCACACTCGAGTTTGAAACGACCGGTATCGGCAGGGAAGGCAAGGACCGGGGTGGAGGTAACGGCGTCTTTAAGGGCGCGGAAAGCATGGTCCTTGTCTGGTCCCCAGGCCCATGCCTTGGTTTTACGAGTCAGCGCGTGGAGGGGGCGGGCGGTCTTGGAGAAGTCTTTAATAAACCGGCGGTAAAAGTTGACAAACCCCAAGAAGGACTGTACTTCTTTGACCTTGGTTGGGGTTGGCCAGTCAAGAACTCCGCGGACTTTCACAGGATCCATCGCGATGCTTCCCTCGGCGATAATGAGGCCGAGGTACTTGATCCGTTTCCGCTCAAACTTACACTTCTCCAGTTTTAAGAAGAGTCTCCGCTTCCGCAGCGTCTCCAGAACTTCTTGGACGACTCTCTGGTGCTCTTCCAGGGTGGCAGTGAAGATCAAAATGTCGTCCATGTAGCAGATGACGACCTCCCGGTCGATGAAGTCCCGGAGGATGTCGTTCATCATTGTTTGGAAGGTCGCTGGGGAGTTACACAGGCCAAAGAACATGACGGTGGGCTTGAATAGCCTGTGGTTGGTCGAAAACGCTGCCTTCCACTCGTCACCGTCCTTGATGTGGATGTTGTTAAATCCCCAATGCAGATCTAGCGCTGAGAAGTATTTGGCGTTTCGGAGGCATGCGAGGACGTCCGAAATGAGAGGGAGGGGGTACGAGTTTTTGACCGTGATCTCGTTGAGCTTCCGGTAATCCTGGACTAGGCGCAACGTTCCATCCTTCTTCTTGACAAAGAAGACTGGGGCTCCCATTGGGGATTTGGACGCCTGTATGCGCCTGTTCCGCAGGTTCTCGTGCAGGAACTTGTCTAGTTCCTTCTGCTCTGGCTGCAACAGGGGGAAGGTTCTCCCTCTCAGGAGCTTGGCATCTGGCACCAGGTCTATTGCGTGGTCCCAGGGCTTCCATGGGGGCAGCTGGTCGAAGGCCTCTTTCGAGAATACATCCCGGAAGTCCTGGTACTGCTCTGGGACCAGCGCCTCAAACGGCGCAGGCTCTGCTTCCGGTTCGCGGGCTTCCTGGGCCATCCGCTGAGACAGAGTCGTGGTCGCTCTCAGTTCGTGTCCCCACCCCGGAGGGATGATAGCAGCGTAAATCCCATCCCCTGGCTCCACTACGGGGTCCTGGTCGGCATGTCCTCGCGTCGACTGGCAGGAGGATGGGCAGCGAGACATACTGACCTTTTGCCGCGTCCAGTCTACCTCTGGGTTGTGGTGCAGCAACCACGAATGGCCTATGATGAGGGACTGCTGCCCCAGGTTTGCAACAGCGAAGCGGGCCCACTCCGTGTGCCATCCGAATGTCAGGAGGGCCTCTAGCTCCTCAGTTATGGCCCTGTTCTCATTTGGGGTCCCATCAATGTTGTGGACAGGGATGGGTTGGGGGAGTGGGGTTGTCTCGAGCCTGTGCTTTCTGACGAACTCAGGGCTCACGAAGTTCCCAGTGGCTCCTGAGTCTAAGAGGGCCGATACAGAGATGGTAGCAAGGGAGGTCAAGGTGGTTAGCTTTACGGCTAGGTTGAGGGATCTGGGGGGTTGCTTCGACAGCACATAGATAGCGGGTGGCGGGACCGCTACCTCCGGCGCTGCGCTTGGTATCTCTTTGTTCGAGGACGCGGTTTTCCTCTTTTTCTTGGCGATGACTCGGTGGAATTTAGACGTCGGCGCCGACTTAGGTGCCTCACGGTATCTACACGAGTTGGTACTATCGCCTGCAGGTGGCCGGGACGCGTCCCTCACCGGTCGCCTTCCTGAAAATCCTCTTGGGCCTCCGCTTCCTGCCCTTCTCCCTCTGCCTCTGGTCTGTCTACCAACTGTCTCCTCAGCCCCTCCATGAGCGCTCTGAGATCTTCAGGGTGCATCCATCTGGCTTGGTGGGTTTTCAGTTGCGGGCAATCCCGTGCGATGTGCCCTGGTGTGTTGCAATTGTAACACAGCCTGTTTCGCCTCTGGTCGATCCTCAAGCGGTCGAGGTCCATGGGTTGTGGCCCTGCTCCTGCTGCAGGGCGGGGCACAGGGGGCTGAGGTGCAGTGGCAATGGGTGCAGGGCGTGGCTGCAGGAGAGTGGCAGGGAGTGGGGGCCTGGTGGGGCTAAGCAGGGTTGCATTGCCTGGAAACGCCGCCACTGGTTGTCAAGGAGGCTGGCCTCGCATTTCCACTTGGCCCAGGTGGTTGGCATGGGGCGGAGGTGGTAAATGCTTTCACGGAACCGGGAGTTGATCGCCTGTTCGAAGCGATCCACTAGCCCCACATCCCTTAGCCGCGAGGCGGGTCCGAGGATCTCAAACTCCTGGATGATCTTATCCACGGAGTCGGTGCCCTGCCGCAGAGTGGCCAGCTTCTGTCTGGCTGTGGCCTTGCGGTTTGGGTCTTGGAACATGGCATCGAGTTCCGTGTTGAACTCGTCCATGGTGAGTCGGGGGGAGCCCGTCGTCAGCAGCGTGATGGTGCACTGCGTCGCCCACGCCCCTGCAGTCCCTCCCTTCATGTAGGACAGGACAAAGAGGATCTGGGAAAGCGGGTTGGGGAATTCCACTGCTCGGACATGGAAGTATATGCCGCATTCAGCCTTGAAGCGGTCAAGGTCTTCGGCTGCTCCAGAGAAGGCAGTGGGGGGGGCGACTTTAGGCAGTGTGGGTCTAGGGGCGGGTGCAGGTGTTGGTGCGGGGACCAGCGCCGGTGCAGGCGCGGCTGGGGGCTGGTTCTGAGCTTGGCTCTCTACGATGGCCTGGAGCTCGTGGAATCGGGACAGCAGTTCATCGTACTGCTCTTCGGTCACCATAGCGGGGGAGGCAGGGGAGATGAGGTTGAAGCCTTCTTCTGCTGTCAGGGACAGCTCCGAAAGCGGTGAGGTCCCTGCATGTGGGACTCGGTGGGACGGATAGCGGCTGTGCATAGCAGCGATCCCGTCGTGGGGTGAGCGTCCCTGACCACTGAAGTGGGAAGTTGAGTTATCATTAAAAGGGAAAAGCTATGGTACTTACCTGAAGTGGGAAGTTGAGAAGAAGGCTGCTTCTTCTGTTCCCACCCCAGGCGCTATTATATACATGCGGTCAGGGTCACGTGGAGGAGGCCATGTCATCTCCGCGCACAGCCGCACCTCCCTGGGTGTCTCCGTGGGAGATCCCGGAGGCGGCTGTTCAGTAGGCAGGAGTGTGCGCGGCGTGTGCAGCAATCAGGCAAACGGGGTTAGGTATGTAGTGGTACATGGAGAAAAGGGAAGTCGACCGTAGAATAGAAATAGAGAGAAAAGGGGAAAAGTGAGGAAGGAGGGACGGGGCTGATAGCGGGGGTTGCAGAGTAGAACAGTACGGCGTGGGGCACAACGTGGGGTCAGGTGGGTGTGCCCTGACAAATGCCTTCTGTGCATTGATTTCAACATCTCCAACCTTTGATGATAGTGGAAATTCACGATAGACGTGCTTGGAATAACCCCATACTTGTTCAATGAAGTTAAGTTCACAATGAAATTTTGGGAGGAAGAGAATACCAGATCCAGCAGCCTCACAGTATGTTTGAAGGATAGACTTGATGTTAAGAAAATCATCTGAATGGAAAAGAATGTTGTGGCAGCAGCATTGTGCTGCTGTTCCACGACATTTGAATTTATCACACTGAGCGTGAAGCCCAGTGACATTGTAACCCCACTCTTCCAATATTTTGGCCATCCCTTTGAAGTATCCAGGATACTTGGGGTGATCATCTGGGTAATAAAGGTGTTGTATTTGGCCATTCCAAGTCGTGTCCACCATTGGCTTAGTTTCCATTTTGGGTTTCCCATCAGGCCGGTATATCACTGCTCCACTTTCATCCCACGCAGTCACAGACACCCCCCAACCCAGCTTAGGACCCTTTGGCATCTCTGTTGCTGACAAGGCATCATCAGCACGCTTGGCATGAGTATGAGCATTATCAAAAATGAGGACATGGTCATCATTTGGATAGCACTCCCTCATTATCTCCATGGCCTTCGACGCTTGTTCAATCACATCACCATTTGTGAAGTACCCATCTCGATTACTTCCTGGCTTGAGTATGACACGAGCACTGTGACCATCCTGACCCTCCAACCAACCATAATCAGCAGAGACAAAGTCCGTGATCATGACTGATGTGCCTTCTCCCTTCGCATAGGGCTTTGTGGTCTCTGACTTGTGGACCCAACGGACTTTCCGACGATCATGTGCATAGAAAATCGATTCGTCATGAAACCACACCACAGTGCGACGCCCTGATGTGGAATCAGGTTCTTCCTCCCCATTTTCATTCCATTTTCTCATCAACTCTCCATATTCAGCCATTGCGGGCAGAAACATGTGCTGCCAATATTGCACCACATCCTCGCGTTCATGCCCATCAGAATACTGACCCCTTTTCTCCCTCTGCCAGTGATAACCCATCCCCTTCAGCCACCGTTGGCCTGTTCGGACAGATATGGGTTTTTCTTGGTTCAAGCGCTCACGCATTTCTGGGGTGTTCAGGAACTGGACAACATCCATTGCTGAGATGTATGGACCAAGACTCCGAAGGTGAGCCTCAATCTCACGTCTAAGATCCTCGTCTGTCACAAGTATGGATTCCTTCCACTTTCCATAGGGGTTCATTGGGATTGTTTTGGAATCGGCCAAGAAATCACGGCACCACTTTCGCAGCCGAGATGCATATGATGGCCCACAGTTCCATGAGATTGCAATCCACTCTGAAGCCTGGATCCAACCCATTTCACTGGGTGAACTCACTTGGCCAGAGCTGTATAGATGGAGCAACTGGAGCATTTGCTCCAGTCTCATTCGCATTAAGTTGTCCAGATCTGCGTGCTTATGACCAGGGCCTTTCCTATGGGGATGGACAATTTCACTGATTTTTTCAGCAGCCTTGTCAACATCTTTTCGGGAGGGGGGAGGGACAAATGGATGGGAGTGGCAGTGAGAAGTTCATGCGGGGTCATCCTCATTTGCCACTACTTCATGCAATGAGTCCATTCCAATTTGTTCAGCTGTTTGTGGTAATGCGCGCTGACATGGGACATAGGGGCTTTGTGGATTGGTTGCTGTGAGTGATTCAGGTGGTAGACTCAGACTCGCGCTTGGGGTTGGTGACACATCATTGATCTCAAAGTTATCGCGACCCAAAACACTGTGGCAATCATCAAGATCACTGTCGATTTCACCCTGATTGTTTTCACTCTCAGTGTCCGAGTCACTGACAACAATGGGTTTATGATTGGGGAAGTGGGAATGGGAGTCAGGCATGTTGTTGGGGGGGAAATGATCGCATATAGTCCGCTTTCTCTTGTCAATCATTGTCTTTTGGATCATCTTGTTCACTTTTTTCTTTGTAGCCCGTTGTTTGGCTGCATGGAGATATTTGGTCCGCTCTGCTGGGATGCTGTTGATTGTGGCCCCAGCATAATGGACCTTGTTTCCTGCTATTGCACCACACTTGCTGACTAGATGGGACAGAGCTATTTGGGACTGAGACAGACGCTCAAACAGAGCATTTTTCGGAGGAGGGATTGGGGTGTCATCAATGTTTTCATCAAAGTTGTCATCACCGAACTGACTTCCACTACTGTTGCTGTCTAGTTCGATATTGAAATTGTCGGTATCGAGAATGTCATATGCAAGAGTGTCATTTGCTGTTCCTTGCTGCATACATTCATGCTGGGGTGTCGGTGTCGGACTAAGACATATTTTCTAGGTGAGCGCATATAAAGTTTCTGTCAATTAAAAAAAAAAAAAAACTAAACAACTCCCTACCTTCCTAGAGTATCCCCCAAGGTTATTTGCTAGGCAGCGCTTCCTGCGTATCGGCATGAACAAGCTTTGGAGGGAAAAGGGATATGTTCACTTTGGTTTCCTTTTTTGTATTCGGCAAAGGCCGCAATTCAGTTTTACTCGCCCATGCCCACAAATATCAGACTTGTGAATTTTTTTTTACTGTGAAAGTTGGGTTTAGAGTCGGAATACAGTGTCAGGAAATATATTAAGTCCAGCTCAATGAAAAAAAAATATAATAAAATTTGGATTCCACGAAGTCGTTAAGTAGCTCTCTTTCTACAACTCCATGGTACTGCATTAGTCCCAAAGGTGTTGAGGTGAGAGTCAAACAGTATGCGAGTTTCACCAGAATTTGCTTCCGGAGAGTGATGACTTATGAACATCGTCTACCTTACCTATGTACCCCAGTTTGAATGTTGACTGGAATACCCCCCAAGTCCTCTTGTCCATAGTTCACCTCTGACTTCATCTTCACTTGAGCCTACATAGCTGCAAGGTTCTGGCTGCTACACCTGAAATACAGGATAGCCTAGAGCATGTGGCACAATGCTCCCACTGAGTCATTGAAACCAACATCCCAACCCCCTGATGCCTTGCAACAGAGTAACCTATCAGCTAAGTGATCACTCACACTGCCATACTCCACTCCACTTCCCACAAATACTCTTGAACACCATTTCTGACACCAAGCAGCAAAGGTGGCTGGTGTTAGAATGGGGCAAGAGTGGATGATTCCAGAGTGGAACTGGAGACTTAGCAAGGAGGGACCTTGGCCTCAGCAACTCAAGGGGAGTGCTGTGCCATTGTCTGTTTGGTCCTTAATTTCAGACATAGTGAGGAGGAAGTCTCTAGGGGGCATTTCTATAGTTTGAGATGCTAATTTTTGACAAACCAATTTGCTTCTGGCAAACTTTCCTTTTAGCACTTGTAGACCAAAGCATTATACCATTGTAAATAGCTTAAATGGATAGTTTCTGAATGCTCTTTGATTGTATCAGAGCAGATTTATGTGAAACTGAGTTTTAAAAAATGTCAGTCCAGATGATTGTCTGCCTATCTTCCTAATTAGGAAATACCTTCAAATGACCATCATAGGCCCCATTAAAGTCACTGAAGTGGTTGAGTCTCAACAAGAGAGCAATCAGTGGGTTCAATGCAGCTATTTTAGTTCAGGAATACATAAGATCAGCCTTAGGGATTGAGGCTGGTTCTGTCATGTGTGCCAAGTGATGAAGCAAAACAATGTTGCCAAAACTGTTCAGTCTTGGTATCTATGATTAGATTTTGATACCATACCTCATTTTTGTTGCATACAACTATATCCAATACTCTGAATTTGCTCAAATGGAAAATTTTTTTCAAAAAAAAAAATTCTCCACCCTCATTTTTTTGAAACTTTGTGTATTAGAGTTTTATACCTATGTTTTATAGTAGGATTTTAATTTGAGGCAACATTTCAGGTCTAGTTGTGTCAGAAAAACATTGCAAGAAACTTTTGTCCCAAACTGTAGTTGATTTTAGACTGAGGGTCTAATCAAGTATGTACAAGCACCTACATATAATGGAGAGACGAAAGCACAAGGAAACAAGGGTGGCCTGAAATGGAACAAAGGCATCCAAATGGAGACAAAGGGATTTACAGAAATGGAGCAGTACTGGGGGTCAAGGGTTAGACTATGTATATGGTACATCCAAAAGGAGGTAAGGAGGGCAAAGCCCAGAGGAGCAGGAGGATGAGGTGGAGTGGGGTTGATGACTAACTGGCTGAATGTAAAGAAGCAGCAGTCCAACTAAGGATGAGGGAGAAGTGTGAAATGTATACTACAAGCAGCGAGAGTGCCAAGATTAGTCGGAGGTGGCAGAGCTTACAGAGGTTGTGGAGGTGGAGTTGGAAGTCCAAGGGATATTGGCAATGGTGTTTACATGAAATGAGTTCACCAATGCAATGGACTTAAGCTGAGGTGGAGTCAAAGTGCCAGGACCATGACAGAATCTCGGAGTGAAGGTACAAGTGCTGTCCGAGTATGGAGTATGGGATGGCAGTGGAAGGTTGTAACTTGGTGGAGGTTTGACGGAAGAGGGTCAGAAGGAGGGGAGAGAGAAGAGAGAGGAGGGTGTGATGTCAGGTTTGAAGGTGGATATCAGAGCGGATGTGGGGTAGGACTCCTGAGGTGAAGTTGAGGGTCTGGAAGTCAAATCGGGGTTGGGTATGTATGGATATGACAGCTGGAGGAAAAGCAGAGTTCAGTGCAGTGCCAACACAAGTCCATGTCCATGAGTTGGAGGTTGATGTCAGGGATGTGTCTGGGGTTGAAGGCGCCCAGATGTATCGCCTGGTGCTGAGGCCTTCATGGGGTTGTCAGAGACTGGAATGCTGTCAGAAGACTGGGATATTGTCGGAGTTGGGCAGACTGTCAGAGTTGGAACACTGTCAGAAGGCAGATAGAAGATGGATTGGGTTCTGTCTGAGTTGAGGTCGGAGGTGATGCAGAGGTCTGTTGGAGCGTGTGCACGGATGTGCGGGCGGAAATATGCGGCGCGTCCGGAAGCGCTGTTCAAGGTTAGCAGAGTGGGGATCGCGGCCTCAGCGACTCAGGTGGAGTGCTGTGCCCTGAGCTTGATGTTTGGGGGAGATCCCGTATTTACAAACGGACACTTACAGCAGACTTCAAACAAGACTTGCGGGCGGAGCAGACCTGTAGGAGGAGCGCGGACTCCGCGAGTGTCATATCTGTGCATACCCGACCCCGACCTGACTTCCGGACCTCCACCCTCTCCACCTCCGGAGTCATAACCTACCGCTGCCGTTCCGATACTCACCTTCATTCCTGGCAACACACCTCCTTCTACCCCCCACGCCACCTCTACTCCTCCCTTCCTCTCCTACCCTATCTCCGTCCACTCCGATACTCACCTCGGACCGAACATCGCCCCTCTTGCCACCCTCCTACTACTTCTCCACCATCCTGTTCCGCTCCTCCTTCGCCCAACCTCCACCCTCCCATCACCCTCCTACGCTTCCCCCGTCCGCTCCGATACTCACCTTCGGACCTGACAACCCTCCTCTCCGCCACTCCTTCCCCCTTACCTTTCCCCTCTCTCCTCCCTCTGGTACTCCTCCGCCACCCTTCCGCCAAGTTACGACCTTCCGCTGCTGTCCCATACTCCCTACTCGGACACCGCTCGTACCTTCGCTCCGAGCCTCCATCATAGTCCCGACCTCGGACTTTGGCTCCACCTCGGTCTTAGTCCATTGCATTGGTGACCTCATACTATGTAAACACCATTGCCAATATCCCTCGGACTCTCAACCCCGCCTCTGTAACCTCCGTAAGCTCCGCAACCTCCGAGCTTCACGGATTGCCTTCGGCACTTTCGCTGCCTGTAATGTATTTCTCGCGTTTACCCCTCATCCCTATTTGGACTACTGCTTCTTCCCATTCTAGCCAGTTAGTCATCACCCCCACTTCTCCTCATCCTCCTGCCCCTCTGGGCCTTGCCCTCCTACCTCCTTTCGGAAGTATCACAGGTCCTACCTTATGACCTTCGGTACCGCTCTGCTTCTTCTACCCTTTGTTCTGTCAGGGTTCAGCACCCTGCCTTAGGGTGCCCCGGACTCCCCACCTACTTTACCCCCTTTTATTCTTTGACTGTTGCCTTGTTGTTGCCTTTGTGTGTTGTGTACACGCGCGCACGGGATAGCGCGGGAACTTTCTGAGCGAGCAGCTCGCCCAGAATGTTCCCATGGGTCACAGCCACAGTTCTGGGCGAGCAACTTGCCCAGAACGTTCCCACACTTACTGGGCACTGCCACCTGGATGTTCCCTCCGGGTCACACTACACAACTCTAGGAGCTGTATAGTTGTGGGCATGTGACCCATTCCTTTATATAGCAACCATGCGGGGAGATGAGACCTTTACCCTTCTTCTCATCTCATGCCCCGCATAGGCAAGTGTATATATTCCCTTTCTTTTACTATACATCTCATGCCCCGCATAGTGTGAGGACAGGCTAGATGGGGGTTGAGGTCAGGGAGCCTCCGAGTCCGAGGCCGGGCCCTGACATGTTCCCGTTCGGACGTCTTCACTCCGATTCGGTTCCCCTTTGTTTCCTTGTGCTTTTGCCCCTTCCATTATATATATCGGCGCTTGTACATACTTGTTTTGGTTCAGTCCGAAATCGACCTGAAATGCCCCCTAGAGACTTCCTGCTCACCTACTGTGAAATTAAGGACCAAATGGACAAACAGCAATGGCACAGCACTCCGCTTGAGTCGCTGAGGCCAAGGTCCCTCCACGCTAAGTCTCCGATTCCATTCCGGAGTCGTCCGAATCCACACGGTTCTAACAGTGAGCACGGACTCAGAGGGGGGAAGCCCCCTTTGCAGAAGGAGGGACTCAGACCAGACAGGGGGGGTACTCTAGTTGATTTCAGACTGAGTGTTATGGAAATGGGAATTTCCCATTTCTAGCCTCTTATGGGCTCTGTACAGTACAAAGTCACGTGATATGTAAATATTAAGAACCTAACAAACTATTATCACCCAAAACACCCAATGTCCATGTTATTGTAAACACCACTGTTAAAACATCTGTTACATTAATTGTAACATCTTCTCAATGTCACGGCCCCCTCCTGCACCCGAACGCTATAGAAATGGGCCAATTAGGCCCCATTTTTATAACACTGAGGTCCCCAAAAGTATTTACAAGGTATATAAATAGGCAAGAGGGAATATAGAAAGGCCAGTCAGTCCGGTGCGGTCCGGCACGGAGATAAGCAGGGATTGTCAAACTAAATAAGGACAAGAGCCCGGGAACTGGAAATGAGGAACAGATCAATAAACAATAAGTGGCAAGGGTTATTGATGAATAACTGAATGAGATCAATAACCTAGTGCCAATAAAGAGGGGATCAAATGCCGATATTGGCAGGGAAGCAAACAATAAATGGCACTTGGCAAGGAATGAATGATAAGCTGCCAAGTGACAAATGGCCAGAGGAAAAGCGGAGGTCAGCGCGCGGCACTGTGTCA